GGGGCTCAGTGCCACCTGGACATGCCACATCCCAGCTATGGCAATGCAAAGGGCTCCATGCCACCTGGGCAGGCCATGTCCCCATCATGACAATACTGGGGCTCAGTGCCACCTGGACATGCCACATCCCAACTATGGCAATGCAAAGGGCTCCATGCCACCTGGGCAGGCCATGTCCCCATCATGACAATACCTGGGCTCGGTGCCACCTGGATGTGCCATGTCCCCGCCATGGCACTCTCAAGGGTTCAGTGCCACCCGGATGTGCCATGTCCCCATCACGACAATACCTGCGCTCGGTGCCACCTCGATGTGCCATGTCCCCACCATGGCACTCTCAAGGGCTCAGTGCCACCTGGATGTGCCACATGTCCACCATGGCAATGCCTGCTCTCAGTGTCACCTGGTCATGTCACCTCCCCTCTATGGCAAAGCCACAAGCGTGGGGCCACCTGACCACACGGTGTCACGTCCTCGTGATGGCAGTGCCTGGGCTCAGTGTCACCTGGCATTGGATGTCCCCATGCTGGCATTGCCAAGGGGTCAATGCTACCCAGATGTGTCACATGTTCATCATGGCAATGCCAGGGCTCGGTGCCACCTGGACATGTGACATTGCCACCATAGCAATGCCATGGTGCCACCTGGGCATGCCACATCCCCATCATGACAATACCTGGGCTCGGTGCCACCTGGATGTGCCATGTCCCTACTATAGAAACCCCGCAAGCTCAGTGCAACCAGTACATGTGACATTGCCACCATAGCAATGCCATGGTGCCACCTGGACGCGCCACATCCCCACTGTGGTAATGCCTGGGCTTGATGTCACCTGGACATGCCATGTCCCCATCATGACAATACCCGGGCTCAATGCCACCTGGATGTGACATGTCCCTCCTATGGCATTGCCAAGGGCTCGATGTCACCTGCATGTCACATGTGCCCCCATGGCAACGCCTGGGCTCAGTGCCACCTGGGCACATCCCATCTCCACCATTAGCAAAGCTTGGGGACATGGCACACGTGTGGCAATGCCACAGCTCTGGTGCCACCCAGGTGTGCCAAGGTGCCACCGTGACCCTGCAGAGCCACCGTGGCTGTGTCCCCGTGGCCATGTCCCCATGACCATGTCCCATGACCATGTCCCCACAGCTGTGTCCCCACAGCTGTGTCCCCGTGGCTGTGTCCCCATGGCCATGTTCCCATGGCCATGACCATGGCCCCGTGACTGTGTCCCCATGGTTGTGTCCCTATGGTTGTGGCTGTATCCCTGTGGCTGCATCCCTGTGGCCACGTCCCCATACCCAAGGCTGTGTCCCCACGGTCATGTCCCCGTGGCTGTGTCCCCATGGCCGTGTCCCCGCGGTCGTGGCTGTGTCCCCATGGCCATGTTCCCGTGGCCATGGTCATGGCCCCGTGGCTGTGTCCCCGTGGTTGTGTTCCCATGGCCATGTCCCCATGGCCGTGTCCCTGCGGCCGTGGCTGTGTCCCCATGGCCGTGTCCCTGTGGCCATGTCCCCATGGCCATATCCCCATGGTCATGTCCCCATGGCCATGTCCCCATGGCCATGGCTGTGTCCTTGTGGCCATGTCCCCATGGCAGTGTCCCCATGGCTGTGTCCCTATGGCCGTGGCTGTGTCCCCACAGCTGTGTCCCCATGGCCAAGTCCCTGTGGCCATGTCCCCGTGGCTGTGTCCCCATGGCTGTGGCTGTGTCCCTGTGGCTGTGTTCCCATGGCCATGTCCAATGACCATGTCCCCACGGCTGTGTCCCCGCGGCCGTGGCCCAGTCCCCAAGGTCCATTGCCTCTGTCTGTG